AAAACAATCAGATTCACGAAAACATTACACTATACAATCTCAACGATCTTTATCCAGGCAGGTGTAGACAATAAACAGGTGTCATTTATTCCATCCGCATTTTTTGGGGAAAGTAAATTCTAAATTTAGAACCATGGTTGAAACTGAAACTACACATGTATGATAAAAATCGAACATTTAAGTTTTGCTTTATCAAATTCTAATTTGAAAGGGATAGCGAAATTTGTTTTTCTTTCGTTGTGCTTTTGTGTATCTTTCCGAATTAGTGAATGCAATTTTGAAGTAAATAAAAAAAAAGAAGATGTGGTATGATTGCCATTGAGACAACTCTCCACAAAAGACCAAATGACACATCTTTATATAGGTCACCATACGGCCTTCAACAATGAGCAAAGCCCATACCGCATATCTTTAAATGTAAAACAATTTAAATGAAAAAACTTACGGCTTAGTTAATGTACAAAGAAACACATGTTACACAGCAACAAACGACAACCACTAAATTATAGGCTCCTGACTTGGGACAGGCACATACATACAGATCGTGGCGGGGTTAAATATATGAGCGGGATCCCCCTAACCTGGGATAGTGGTGTAACAGTACAACATAAAAACGAACTATACAAATCAGTTGAAGGTTTAGTTCATCAGATGGATACAAATGGAAATACATATTATAACAAAAACATACAGTGGACATGGCCGGGTACTTGTACATCCCAACAAAAAAAAGACAGCTAGTTCAAAGCCAAGTATAACTAATAAACAAAACAATCATGCATCTAAGACTATATTATCAATCAATATTACACATCCAACAGATTTAGTGTAAAGACGTCATAAACAAAGTTTTCTTCTCAAGTTATAAGGGGTCCAAACAAATAATGTGACACTTGTATTTCAGTTTTATATTTCGAGGAATGATAGGTGACATGAGTTAAGACTCTCACATTTTGATAGCATTTTTAAGACTGATTTGCTTTAAACTAAAAACCAGTTGTATGTTATTTTTATAACCTCACCAGAAATACTATCAAATTATATGTTTAACCAACTTGTTTATACATAAGGATCTTGCACGTTCAGTTCTATTTTATCACCTAATTCGGATTTTCAGGAGCCGTGTTTTGCACCAATGGATTCATCGTTCATTTTTGAATAGTTTATCTTTTCTTTTTAAATCTGTAGACCAACAAAATTGAAAATCATGTTCAGAAAAATATCTGCCTATTTGGAAGAATTTCCCTATGTATCTTATGTATTTTTGGCGTCTCATGCTGTTAATTTCAACCGCTCGTATCTCAAAAACGAAAAACGGTTACTCCTTTTTTTATTTTATTATCTCGTGTACTTTTACACGCAGAATCCGTATGTGAAATTAAAAACAAAAAATTCTGTGGAGTAGTAAAGTACGTACACTTCGCCTCACTAGAAACTATACCTTTTTTAATTTTTTTATGTAACTACATGTACATGTCCTTTATGTATTCCGTGTGCATAGAATTTGTTGATATGTCATAATGTGTGTCTATATTGTGATATGGTCGATTAAAGCTTGTGTAATATGTATTTGTTAACTAAATATTGACTTCAATTAACAAGCCAAAAAATCTCAGGCCTTGGTCAAAAGACAAAAGTCATGGCCTGCTCAAGTTTTTCTTGCCAAAATTACAGTTATCGTTATCGAGGTCAAAGTTTAAGGTCACATAAAGGTCAAAACTGTAAAGGGCACACCACTTCATGATGATACATCCACATGCCAAATATGTTAGATATAGGTCAAAAGACGAAGAAGTTATTTCTGGTTGTGTTTCTTGCAAACAAATACATTATTTGACCTTGAGGTCAAATTTGAAGGTCTCATGAAGGTCATCATGATTCTAGACAATCACTCAACCTCATGACTATACATCCACTTGCCAATTATCTAAGGCCTAGATCAAAAGACAAAAAAAGGTTATGGCCCATATGTACTATCAGAACCGAACCTGCTCTTATTTATTGAGGGTGGGGGTATATTTTAATCTTGAATTGAAAACAATCTGACGGTTAAATTGTTATAAATTTTATGCGAGAATAACTGACTAATATAGTACTACAAATGGTTAGTATTTCAGAAACAATAAACGACACATTTTTTTTAATTTACATTTTTTATCTAAAATAAATTTACCAATCATAGTCATTTTTGGTTCCTTCATCTTATACCTCCCTTTTTATTTCAGACTAAAATTTAAATTTAGAAAGACAAACTTACAAGTAAAGGGTATCAATCAACTCAAAATTGCCTGATTCATCACTATTAACTATGCTTTTGTCAATTTAGGTTTAATTAAAAAAAAAAACAAAAAAAAAAAAACATGTATACCCCTATACCCATATTTCTGGAACTTCAAAACTGACCGAATTAACATGTGACCCATGCCATACTTTGTTGGTCATATCTTTTTTACCAACGGTTCAAATCTTTAGAAATGTTTACATGATATTCAGCTAGGCCTAACTTATCAATGAGAAAAAAACAAGAAAATTAAACGACAGGTTTTTTTTGGGTATAGTGTTGGGTACCCCCTTAGGATTATATCACATTGTTGACAGCTGTGCCCCTATTTTTGAAATATACATATTATATCTGTTTGTTTTGTTCACATATCGTTGTTAATATAATGGAATTTTATGCGACTGTCATAAAAGTGAGAGGTTTAGCTAGCTATAAAAGCAGGGTAGGTCCACTATTTTATACATTAAAAAACGCCTGTACAAAGTACGGAATATGACAGTTGGTATCCATTCCGTGGATGTGTTTGACATGTTTGATCTGTTTGAGCTTTTGATATTGCCATTTGTTTCGGACTTTCTGTTTGGAATTTTCATAGGAGTTCGGTATTTTAGTCTTTTTAATTACAGGTAATTTAAATCAATTCGGATAAAAACCAAATACCTCATCACTTGGAGTAATAAAATTGTTTACAAGCACAGTAATACATGTAATATGTTTACGTACTGTTTCCTTATAGTCCTCCAAGTAAAATAGAATAATTTGATAAGAGCTTGATCAATATATTCAAACTGTGTCTAATATCGCCCTATCCATCATCCGAAATAATATTGGATGGCACACGGAACAATTATTTTATATAACACAATAAACATCCAAGAAAACTAGAAGGAATATTCACTTGTTTATAATATGACCTATTCTTTGTCATTTAATTAGACACATAACCTTAAATCTAAAATTGGTTCCTCGTCGCTTGTTGTAATAATTTTTTTTTATCAGAGCAAATAGTAGATTAAAAAGAAATTGTGTATTGATATTTGTGGTAAATTTTACAAATAACATTTAAAATAAAAGAAGAAATACTTTCTGTGTCCAACGAAGCATGTTTTCCTTATATTTAACATTTGAAATTGTTTTAAGTCAAATTTTGGTTTAAAGGGATAATTTGCCATTTTAATCCTAACATACAAGTTAAATTTTTCAAAAGATTGTATTCTTCTAAAATAGATATTTATGCTTTTCAACTTTATTTTTATTTGAACTTTTAACCTTCGAATTTCGGGTGTCACAGATGAATATGTTGTAGATAGAAAGGCCGTGTGACGTACAAATCACTGCTGGTATCTTTGATGATTTGTTCAATAACTAGGTCGTTGCCACCGCTTGTGGACGTTTATTTTGTAAAAGCTGGCGACAAGCTCAGCAGTAGTCATCTTTAACATTGTCATAAAAGCGAGAGGTTTGGCTAGCCATAAAACTAGGTTCAACCTTCCATATTTCTTAAAATGTCCAGTACCAAGTCAGGAATAAGTCAGTTGTTATCAAAATAATTCGTTTCTATGTATGTTGGCGTTTGTTTTTGTTGCATTTCAGTTTTCCTCTGAAAAGTGTAAGAAAAAAATTTGCGCAAGTTATACACTGTCCGCACTAGGGATTCTATTTGTAGACAACGAAATCAAACGACAAAAACTGTGTCCACGGACCTAATAAAAAGGAAAATACGGAATGATATAAGAATAATTAATAAAACCATAGAAGGGTTTCTTGTGCAATCATACCACCACTTCTTATTTTTGTATGTAATAGATAATATGCATGTATCAAAACTAACTGGTACCAGGCTTTTGGCGCTTGTGGGATAAATTATAAGAAGAGTATGAAATAAAGTTGCCATGCATATTTTCATCTTTCTGATCATTTTATTTGGGATAAATTGAGCATTCGGCTTTCTTGACTTTCTCCAAAGTTCATGTGCTAAATATTGATTTGATGGTATATAGAATGGAATTTCATAATGTAACATGAGAAAAGGATTAAAGGACAATGGTTCAAGATTGCATGATGAACTTTTGCAAGGCATTTTAAATAAATTGTAAAAAGTTTATAAAAGGAGTAGCAAAGTGGTGTTACAAATACCATTCTGCATTAAAATCGATGCGATCGATGTATCATTCTGATCATTTACGCAGGTTTTGAATATCCGAAAGTCATCAAATTTCTCATTTTTGTTTCATATTTGTTGTAAAAAAGAAAACTACAAGAAGTATTGTAGTAAAAAAACATACATTTTTTAATGATTATAGATCTGAGGTATGCCGCTTTGTTCGATGAATATCACTTTTAACGACAGTCACTACAACTGAACAAAAATAGAAAATCACACAATTTTCATTTTTTTGTCGCCTCATCTTGCCTTTACATACAAAATCTATTAGACTGGCTGAAAAATTGATACAGCTTAATCTTGCACTGTGTTTTTGGCGTTTTGCATTGGAAAACTTTCAAATTTTAACCAAACACACGCACATCGCTAAAATAAAATTAAATTGTTGCAATTTTCTATTGGAGTGCCTACTACTTTGGCTTTTAATTGTGGTGTTTATTGATGGCATCTGTTGGCTTACACTTTTAGGTAAGCTGCGTACTGAATGTATGTTTTTTCGTTACCGATATCCTAACAATGATTTAATTGATTTAATTTTTATTTTAGAGAGTGTAGGAGAGCCTTGTTCTGCAGGTGACCATTTACCAGGTTAATATTATTTAATATAGAATTTTGGCATATGAAGTACATTTGAATTAAAATAGTATTTACACTAAATAAATGTTCTTGATCACAACTGTTAAAAGTGTATTCACAAATTACAAAAAACGAAATAGCAAATGAAATGTTAACGTGTACGAACTTCTTTCGCCGTTCTCATTTATATGTTACTAAACCTACATATACACCATGGGGTACATGTATAAAGATTGGGTAAAAATAATATAATTCTCACTTTAGATTTATTACCATTACCGCAAACAAAGGGTTTTAGGCTATTTAACTCATTTTTGTATATGGACTTATATATAATAATTCCCGACCTTTATGGCACTTAAATAAATGATGGCAATAGCAAACAAAAAGCATTCTTATATAAAAATAAGATTATTGTTTGTGTTTCATGAAGTTATAATACATGTATGCGATTTGTCTCCCTTTTACCTGAGCCGTTTAGTAGCCACCCCATTCCATCTGTCTGTCCGTCTGTCCGACAAAGGTAGATAAATTCAACCAAATTATCCAAGCTTCGTTGAAAGGGAAATATTTTAAATTCTGTCTGCAGCTTCGTATGATCGATTCATAGCTGGTAAATGAAAGCAACAGTTGTATACCGCTGTTCAGAAGTCCTGAATCGATTGAGGGGAAAACAAATCTTGGTTACAAACTAAAACTGATGGAAACAAATCAACTATAAGAGGAAAACAACGAAACACTGAAGAACAACGAAAAACAAACAACAATGCAACATACATAGAAACATGTTAACCACAGAAGATTAACGATAACTAAAATTAATTCAGGACAGTACACAAAGAACAGCTTAATAGAAATACGAACTGTGTGTCTGTCACACTAATGGTTCAACACCACAAAAAGTTACGTCACAGGTAAATTTCAAAACTAGGATATAAATCAAGACATTTTTACATCTGCTCTGATACCACTAAGTGTATGACGATTGTTGGAAATTTTACAACACTTTCATGAAACGTGTTTTCCATTCAATGAAAGGAAATGATTAAATATTTGGTCCGCACCTTCCTTATGTTCAGTTAAAGAGGGTAACTTATTTTTATATTTGCTCTACATGTAAATAATTTTTTTTGTTTGCTGGTAGTTAAAAAAATTAAAACCACATTGTACTACAGTAAAAAAACTTTCATTCAAAGTTCTTGTATAAAGGAATATGTGTCCCCAATGGTATCATAATTTTATTCCGTACTGGCATGAAAATACAGACATTATATAATTTGAACTTGCTGTTATAAAATATCGAATATCATTTTACTTATTTTACTTATCTCTCTCACAAAGCTTTAAATCCTTGTATGAAATTGCCTATATATTTGGTATTTATTGGTTCTTCGACGTTTGTAAGGTACTTGAATTTTGCATACTTTGGCCTCAAGCATCGCTAAAAAGACATTAGTTGTTAGAATGCACATCTGGTACAGTTAATTTTTTACTGTTAATGATATTACAAATTTGATAAAGTGCCTAAGGTACAAAAGAATTTTGTTATTCATGCTATCTTGTTTTTTATTGCAGTGGTAAATATATGTACGAACAAAACTGCGTTTGAGGATGACAGCAATTCTGTTTTAGTTAAATCAAATATGAGACAAAACTGTACATGTGAACTTTCTTTAACCGACCAAAATCAAACAATAACTATTTACTTTCAAAGATTTAACAATCAAATAAGTTCCGTTCCATCTAATTCTGACTGCGGTTTGAATCTAAAGTTTAGTGTTGGACAAGATATTTTTGGGGGAGCTAACTGCTTTGGCGTTATCTATGTTTCAAAACCGATTGTGAAAAAGAATGTTATTACAATAACATCAATGACTTTGAATGGAACATTGCACGATAATGAAGGGTATTGCATTGAAATAAAAAAAGGTAAGTTTCATCAAATAGTACCTGACGTATGATACCGATGTCAGTAAACATATAATTCAGTAATTTTTCTGAAAAAAGCTGATCATTAAAACTGTTGAAATCAATAACAACATAAAAACTGCCATATCAGGACGGTGAAAGTCACAATGTTATCGTCTTTACAAAGATTGAGTATCCTACATATGCAAATAGTATTTTACAATAAATAAAAGTAAATAAGCACGATTGCACAATTTGCTAGCACTCAAAATAAAGAGTTTTCATTTTAGTGAATTGAATTCAGAAATATAGATCATAATTCAGAAATATATGTCTTTGTCGTTTGAGTCATATAATCTGCACTACAGATATATTTAAGCTGTATGAAATATCACCTTTTAATCTGATACAGTGTATTGTGTAAGAACGTATTCGACTCAAATTTGACATCAAATAAGAGACAAATTGTTACTGTCTAATATCTTTAGATATGCGAATAGTCGTCTGATCTGTTATTAAACTATTGTATTATATTCCCGATTCCAACATTTCTGAGTATTTTTTGCATGAAAAGAGATGTATGCGTTACAGGACACGCTAATCCTTTTGATGTGCTGCATGTAAGTGTCGCGGCAATCAGTGTTCACGCGATTTCCTATTTCCTCATGTTAAGGGTTTTCGTGATTTGTATTTTTTAAATGGACTGACGTAACAAGAATATTGGTATTATTGTTCCTCCAATTCATTTTCTATATTCATAATCAGCTGACTATGTATGATATGTATGATTATTGTTAGGTGTAAGGTTCAATGTAGTTTTTCTACAGAATAAGCATGCATAACGAAAATAAAAACAAAACCAAGTACAAGGAGAATGATTAAAACTTTAACACAAACGTGGTCTAAATAAGCTGTTGCCATCTTTTTGCAACCACCGCCTATCAACAATACACTCAAAATGATCGGTTTTATAAGTTCAAAACATCAAACAATTGAAACTAACAATAAGATGTAAAGATAAGTTCATGATGATTGTCGACATTCATTATGCTTAATTGCTGATATAGTGGCCAATATGGAACTTTAAGCCTTGGTCAGCAATCTTTTTGAGAACTGTTTTACAGCTAAATATATAGCTTGCAATTACTCATTCAGTTCTTAACATCCAATCTTTCAGCACTACAAAGAATTTACAAACGTTAGCATCAACGCATCAAAGGTATCGCTTTGTAAATTGTCGCAGCACTTTCCGTTATTTCAAATTCTTATGAATGATTTTATAATAGTTGACAAATATTATAATTGAAAAACGCTTATGAAAATACCAGGCTTTATATTATGAACCTCAAATGAGCATTTCGTCTTATCATGACTCTAATATCGTTCGAATTATTCAGGACAAAAAGAAAAGAAAAACATGATATTGGGTATCCATCCATGACACAAGGTACATGCAAAAAAAAACCCAAAAGACAAAAAAATTACAAAAAGCAAAGGAACAGCGCTTGTATAGCTGTTATTCGTCTCAACTTTGACTGGAAACCAATATCTATAGTGTGGAATTTCTGACATTTTTAATAGAAAATTGAAAACATTTGTTCAAACAAAAAAGTTTAATTTAACTTGAACAATCCGCTTAACGATGCATCTTTCTTATACGATTTAACGTTAAATTAAAAGATTCTATCACGTGAATTGATAAAGAAAAACAACCAAAAAAACTAAATCAGATTATCTATAACCTACCCTGTAAATTTGCTGGCTATTTTAAAGGCATCTATCCAATCGAATTTGAACTGCATGACGCCACAGATACAGTTTCTTGAATAATCATCTTCTAATAGTCAAAAATATTTTCTGAAGGAAAATTTATGGTATATTCTTGAATGCAGGCAATCTTGGCAGGTTTAAGGAACCCATCACCAGAAGGGGTTTTAATACAGGAGGAATATTAGTGTTAAAAAACCGTACGGCTAAGGTCTTGTTAACATCTAACAAAACAAAAAATAGATTTACGCGAGAATGCGAGAGACTTTAGCGAAACAATTTATTACCTACTTCTTATTTTTATATCTCATTTGGTTATTTCAATCACCATCTATGTGCTTTACATTAACAGTAGCCCCTGTAAAAAGGGGAATGCTTAGTCTAACATGTGGTATTGGCAGCACCACCACGACTCAAACAACAACAAAATCAGCAGAATCATCAACAATAACCACAAATTCACCATCGACGACTACGATGACCACGACAACAGTGTCAACAATAACAACTACTATGGATACTGATCAGTTCACCTCTGCAAAATTCACAAGATCAGATAGCCCTGAAAGTACAAAGCAAGTTAAGCAACATCAAATAATTTCAGGTTAATAATGTTATCGTAGTAACAAATATATTCAAGTGTCTGATTAAAAATATCAACATTCGTCCGTCTGATATTCGATGTCGGCGATTACATACCAGTAAGTAAATAATACGAATTGAAGATTATCAGGACATTCTTTCTCTTTTTAGCGCACCAGGTTCAAAAGGCTATACAAGTTATTGTCATCATTTGGCGTCCGTTTTAATCCATGTAGGCCGTCGTCGTAAACTTTAATAAAATAAATCGTCTGTTCTGAAAATCATGGGATCAATGTTCCCAAAACGTCACTTCAGGTATCTTGAGATTTGATATATGTACAAACATGAACATTTAAACCAGCCAAAATGATCAGATATGCAAAATCTACAAAATCGTGAGATATGACCTTAAGCATTAAAGGAGTTATTGTCATAAAAAAATTATTTGTCACTAATTTTAAGTATTTTGTCTATTATCTCTATATCTAAACGATGAGTAGAAAGAGGGACGAAAGATACGAGAGGGTCAGTCAAACTCATAGATCGAAAACAAACTGACAACGCCATGGCCAAAAATAAAAAGACAAACAGACAAATAATAGTACAGATGACACAACATAGAAAACTAAAGACTAAGCAACAATGATAGAAACTGTAAACAGAAAAACCTGGTCAGAAATACATGTGAGCGATTCATGCTCTTAGGAAACTTGCTAATTATTTATTATGAAAAGATTACTTGAACCACGAAGATTTTTAAAATGACCGACTCTATTGGGGTGCTTGCAAGTGAGAGGTTTAGCTAGCTTTAAATAGTTATCAAAGGTACCAGGCTTATAATTTGATACGCCAGACGCGTGTTTCGTCTACGTAAGATTCATCAGTGACGCTCAATTCAAAACGGTTAGAATGACAAACAAGTATAAAGTTGCAGAGCATTGAAGACGCAAAATTCCAAAAAATTGTGCAAAATATAAAACCAAGTTTAATCATCTATTTTCTACTAAAGAAAATGCTTGTACCAAGTCGGGAATATGACAGTTGGTGTCCATTCGTTTGATGTGTTTTAGCTTTTGATTTTACCATTTTGATTAGGGACTTTCCGTTTTTAATTTCCCTCGGAGTTAATTATTTTCGTGATTATATTGTTTGCAACTGATAGATACCCGAATACTTTGGATAAAGTGCTTGCAAAGAAAGGCTTGGTGATTTGTCTGAGTGTGTTGTTTTTTCACAATATTCTAGTTTTTCCATCGATGATGCGCTCAGTGAATTTTTTTTTTGAGGTGAGTTAAAATATCTGAATACTGTATACAGCTAGGCATGTACTCATCTAAGTTTTAAATTCCTGGGGAGCGGGTTAAATATCTTTCTTTGTCACACTAGAACACATTATTTACCGAAATTCTTTTTTATTAACATACCTGATGTTAGCTATTCTATTAACGCGATCGTGAACCTTCATCAAGTGAGCATATATATATTAGATTCTGATATTGAAGAAAAACACTGTGATTCACTTACTTTTTATTTGTTATAGACTGATGAATTTTCGACAAGTTATCTTTTATCATAATCGTATGATACTGTACATTTACTAAAATTAGATAAAAATTGTCAATTTGCATTATACAATAGGTTTGTTAACGTTTATTACTAAAAACGCAGAATGATATTGTCCTAATTTGTATCATTGTGAAGATAATTTGATGATGGGAGCCATGCTTAAGTAAACAATGAGAATTGCATGCCGCAATACAGTGTCGTCTCCATTCTTACCATGTATAAATTATATAAATCACTATGTTTGCTACATAGTTTTGTAGAGATAATAAAAATTCCTAATGGAACACTCTTTTCAGAGAACTGTTTGTATGTTTGTATAAACAAAATTTAAGAGCGAGTTAATTCTATAAGCCAATAGTTTGGTTTTTTTTTTCTGGAAGCTTTTCTAGTAATCACGTTTATTTCTAATAGATAATAACCAATTTCCATAGCGGTATTTTGGTTCACAAGTACATTTATTTTACTATCATAAATTGAATTTTGTTTCGAATATAATTTTAAAAAATTGCCCTAAAGGGAGATTTGACAATATTGAAATTTTCTAGATAATGATGACACAACAGTATTAGCAGCAGGTGGATCAGTTGCAGGATTTGTAATTATTATAGGAGTTATTGTTGTGGTCTGTATCTATAGACGGTATGCAAGATTTTTATATGTTTATCTTACAGAAGATTGGGAATTGAAATATAGATACTGGGTCAACGTTAGGTCACTGAGAATTATCCTCCGAATAGTCATATGGTTAATGTTTTTGTACATATATGCTAATTAACATCCTCCGACTTCTAATTTATTCCTTAATTAGCATATGTGACTTGTGTTGTTCTTATTTCTATCGTTAATGAAAATGTAATTATAAAGTTATTGCTCTTGTCGTCCTCTTATTGTTTGTATTCTGACGGGACGAAACAAACGACCATAACTGACGGTTGCACCCAAATACTAGTCTGCATATAAAAAACGTTAATTTTTCCGACAAACGTCAAATGTTTAATTAAATTGAAAATCGGAATATGGAATGTGTCACAGAGACAACAATCCGACCAAAGCTTCAACTAGTCCCTTAACACAAATTTAAAATGGACGTCACACTAAATTCCGAAACATATAAATGAACTAAAATTAAATTTGTTTACAAGACTACAAAAACCAGAGGATCGTGACTTGAGACAAGCGTAAAACATGCAGCGGTGTTATACATGTTAAATGAGAACTCAACCCTCCCCTATACCTCTAGCAAATGTAAAATAAACAAACATACACCAATACACACAGTAAAACGTAGTTTTAAAGAAGTCCAAGTCCAATGTCAGAAAAGGTAACAGAAGAAACTAAGAAAATGACAATGATACATAAAATAAAAGATGACTACTAGCAGTTACTGAAATGCCTGATCCAGAAATCAAATTAACTGATTGAAAGATTATGTCTTCATCATATGAAAAGCAAGCACTATAATATCTCCCGTAAAGGGTTTAGTATCATACTATCATGAAATATATATTTGAAAATAACCCGTATGATGCCAACAACTGGTTTTAAAATAAATGTGTATATTTCCGCTGTAAAGACCCTATGATGAATCAACATTGATTTCAAAATATTCCATCTTTAATGACGACAGTATCGTAACTATATATTATATCCCTTCTTAATAAGTCTGTTTAAAGGTTTGGTTAGCTTGTTAGGTGAATAACGACATTTGTGTGCTTTGTATAGAATATTATGCCTGTATGTTGATTTATAATATTGATGATAACATTTAGTAAATGTTTTGACTAGTTTATGATATCGAATACCATGGTACTATAACTTTTCAGTAGTACAGAGATTTTGTTCGTTGAAATTAAAAAAACGCTGTTACATACACGAGCGAATCGAATAAGTTGAGATATATAAACACCATAAGATGGTCACAAGGGAACGTCACCATCTACAAATGGATATTTAATAATAGGAAATGAAAAATTATCTCTTTTATCGTAAATTTTGGTATAAAGCTTCTCGTTAAAGATAAAGATATCAAAAGTCAGGAAATGACAGTGTTCATTGTTAGTATTAGTTTTATTTAAAGTCAGTTCAGCAGGATAAATCTCTTTAGTGTAGTTGTTATTATTGAGAGCCGACATATCTTTAAATATTTGAAAGTGTTTTAAATTCTTTTTGTATAAGATGTAGTTTCGATTGGTTTAGGCTTATTTTAGTAATATATTGTAACTCATAACAATACAGAAACAAGTCTGCAATAAGTTTTGCACATGCATAGTTAGTCCTCATTAGAATTCCAATAACTTGACGATATACGGAATCTCACTACATAAAAATTGTATCGAATAAAAAATCAAGTAAAGTTATCATATCAAAGCAGGTCCAATTTATATAGTTCCTTTGTTTGTTGTTACTAAAATATGACCTCAAATAGTTTGAACATATATATTATCAATCTGACTTTTGAAATACCCATTCATTGTTTTCTTAATTAGATAATGAGGCAAAGTAGTTTATAGAGTAGAAAAATCAAAACTTTGAACAGATTCGAAATCACAAATATAAGCATGCAATTTACTTCCAACGATTTTCTGACACTCCAAAAGTAAATAATTCCACTATTTTCATAGGCCTTAATTGCATAGTTGGATCTTTCATTGTATTTGGTTCTGCTTGTAAAGAGGTAGCTAAAGGTTTGTTACAGATGTCATTTTACGAAAATGAGTGAGCTGGAGTGTTGGTGATTTCCTTTTGCAGAACCTCAATGTGAAATTCACGTCAACCTATAATGGTATTATTGGCAGCCTAATCAGCCAGGACAAATCAAATTCATTGGCGAGTTCTTTAAGCTTACGTTTGATACGAAAAATAGAACTTATATGGTTGTTATTAGAATAAAATGTTCTTTATAATGTTTAATAAGAATATTAGCTATATTAATCACTGGATTAAAAAAAAAAATCTTATGATATTTTGTCAGCTTTTTTCCATTGTATCAATTTCGTGCAGTAAGTACCGAGTGAATAGTGGATAATGTTACGACACTAATTCCAATATATAAAATTGACGAGGGGCGATATTTACTGAGGAATGATTTCAAATCTTGGTCATAAAAGATGACTAGGTGTCCTGTTATAACATGGTAATAGCTATTAGGTAGATAGTAAACAACATTGCGTCTAGTACGATTCATTAGACTAAGTCTCTCATCCTTGACGGTAAAATTCAAACATATTAAATGATTCACTAGCCTTGCGTTTGCAAAATCAATAGGTCTCGAGTACACTAAGGAGATATTGAATCATTTTTCTGGATGAAAATCAGACACCCGTAGTGTTATCAAATGACAAATTCAAAACTAAATCCAATTGTTTATTGTTGTTTTTAACATAATTATCAGTTTTATATTATCTTATCCGTATTACTCTAAAATTAGTTCTGTGAGGGTTGCATTTTGTATTTTATTGCAAATAAACATCATCAATGTAAGAGTCAACAAAAATTTAACATATTTGTAGCATCGTTTTATAGCATGTGAAAACCAAGTTTCATAAACTCGAACAATCAGTTACCTAATTTATCAGAAAACATGTATTAAGTGTTATTAAATGCATAATACTATTAACATTTCAGATACCATCAAAAACCGATTCCTAAACAAGGTCCAGCATTTGATAATGAGTCTGATGATTATGGCATGCGGAACAATGTCCTTTATGTTTCATCACAATCAACTGATACTGCTAAACCACAAGATACAAAGAGGATATCAGTTGATATTGATGGTAATTACAGTACTGTAGATTTGGATGAAATACTGTCAGTCGAAGAATCAACTGGAGATTACAGTGCAGTTGACTTAGAAAAACTGACACCGTCAAAATCAAATACGAACGGTTCTACAAATGAAAAACCGATTATTGCTCCGAAGCTGAAACAAAAGATGACTATGCAAGATGATATTTATTCTGTCCCGGATAAGAAAAGGGTGAAGCATGTTACAGCACCCGATGCAAATGGGTGTGAATATGCTGTTGTTATCAAACCAGACAAATCGAACGTTGATAAAAGTGAAGTTCAATCATCAACGAGTAATGTATATGCAGTTGTTAAAAAAACAAAACGCATGTCTGATGGAAAGGGGACAAACCAGAAAAGAAATAGTTTAACAGCCGAAAACGACGGTGAAAGTGGACAATCATAAAATAAAGCTGAGTCCTGGTGATATATTAAAACTTGTGCATGTAAACAGTTTATTACTTGCATTATTATCCGTGTTGGAATAATTCATAAACTCAATCGGATGTTTAAAGTACATGTTTCAACAAATAACATAAAGTGTTATAAAAACATAAAAAAAAATAATGAGGAACCAATCTATTTATAACAAGTTTAAGCTTTAAGTGTACTCCAAATTAAATTTGTCACTTATAATAGTGAAACTAAGGCAACCCTATGTGTTGCTACCTTTTAGTATTATGAATCAACATAATAAAATACAAAAATAAAGGATTTTTGTTAATAAACATATACATGTATACCAGTATTACGTGAATATCATACAATATATGATGAACATATACAATTGTCAATACGCGAAGTTAATGTCAGTTTTTCAAAGGTCAATTAAGCCACCTATTTACCGAGACAAAAGAAGTTATTGTTAAATCTCGTTATCCAGGGAAAACATGTATGTAATGACAATTATTTACCAAAACCAATTGTAAATCAAACAATTTTACCATAATTATACACATAATAGCACGCGATGTTTTGAGCGCTGAGTATACCTTTTTCGCAGGTGAACATGCTGTTTTATTCAAAATCCATTTCACATAGAAAACCCTACTAAAGTTCTATCAATATGAAACAATTGATGATATATTTTAAGTATAATTATGTCAAATGTATGGAAATAATGATTATAGCACTATTTAAAATCTGCTTCACATGGAAAAGTTTAATTGATTTAAAGTTCAGTATTTACAAGTTGTATAATATATAATCTAGAGGTTCAAAAGAGCCTGTGTCGCTCACCTTGGTCTATGTGTATATTCAACAAAGGACACTCTACAACATTGAAGACAAGAATAGAATTCATAAGAAAAATCTCTGTTTTGTTTGTCTTGTATTGCTGATCATTTAGTCTGTTTAGTTTCTCTCTATCTTCTTTAGTTTTTTGCTCAAAACACAAAGGAGGGTAAACAAAATCCTCATTTAAGGGGCTGATAAATCACTCCTATAAAGAGTGACAGCCTACCACCTTTATCATCAAAATGTGATTGTTAGTAGATCGGACGATTTCCTCTATATTGTCTTACATGTAATTGTAGATCTCGTCTTGCTATTCAATTCTGCCTATTTAAGTTTCTATCTATCTATTATAATTTTTAAGAAATAAGGAATAAACGCAAAATATTGTAAAAATAATTATCAAAGGGCAATAACTCTCATAAGGAGTAGGCTGACGACAACTTATTTGTAGAACTTGTCTTGCTGATCATTTTAGCATTTTAATGTTTCTCTATATCTATTAACGTCACCAGAGTCTGAGAAGAAAGTTGATGAACCAGGGATATGTCAAACAACGTCTCGTCCTTTTTCTAAAAAAGTTCATTGGAAGTTACCAAGACCTTGTTGATAGATATTCCGTATCAACTTCACAAATAGTACATGATGGTCTTGAAGTATAGATTCTGGGTACTGACGTTGTTTATCATCTTAATGACTTGTTATAATATTCTTGTATTTGTCTTTAATAATAATACTTTTAATATTTATTATTTGTCTTTATGAATAATACTTTTACTGTTTAGTTTGTTTTTTTAGTGATATCCATTTGACGTGGCTCTGTACTTATACAAACCGTTATTGTGTTATTGTTCAATGGCAAAAAAATTTGTATTCTTGTCTTTCATACTTGCTAATGTGCTTTGTCTATATGCCTTGTTGTGTTTCTTTTTTTACATATGACCTGGCTTTGTACTTATACATCCCGTCATTGTGGTATTGTGCTATGGTGAATTTTTGTATCCTTGTCGTTCATTTTTGCTAATGTACCTTGTAATATGTCTTTTTGTGTTTCTTTGTTACATAATTAATTGTTTTTATAGTGATTAAGATTATAAAACAATGTTGACTGCTGTAACCCTATTTGTGACATTTGTACATATTATGTCTGTTTGTTTTGTTCACACATCGTTGACAATATAATGGAATTTTATGCGACTGTCATACAAGTGAGAGGTTTAGCTAGCTATAAAACCAGGTTTAATCCAGAATTTTCTACATAAGAAAATGCCTGTACCAAGTCAGGAATATGACAGTTGTTATCCATTCGTTTGATGTGTTTGAATTTTTGATTTTGCCTTTTGATTAGGGACTTTCCGTTTTGAATTTTCCTCGGAGTTCGGTATTTTTGTTATTTTACTTTTTATAGTTTTCCAGATAATAGGCAAAAAAGAAAAAAAAATGGTAAATTTTGTCATTTAAGGACAATAATTCCTATAAGAAGTTGTCTGACGATTGTGACGTAAATGGACAGTTGGAAGAGCTCAACATGCTGAACTTTTTTTCCCCTTGTCAGATTTTCTCTATTCATAACGGTTTTAAATAGACAAAACTTGCATTTTACCTCCATGTTCTATTTTTAGCCATATCGGTCATGTTGGTTGGCAGGCGGGGTCATCGGACACATTTTTGAAACTAGATACTAGGCTGATTGTGGCCAAATTTGGTTAAATTTATCTTGGTAGTTTCAGAAGAGAAGATTTTTGTAAAAGATTACAAAAATTTACGAAAAATTGTGAAAAATTGACTTTAAAGGGCAATAACTCTTCATGGGGTAAATTGAAAATTTTTGTTAAGTTGACTTATTTGTAGGTCTTACTTTGTTGAACAAGTTTGCCGTTTACAGTTTATCTCTATGTATTATAATATTCAAGATAATAACAAAAAACTGTAAACTTTCCTTAAAATTACCAATTCAGGGGCAGCAACCCAACAACGAGTTGTCTGATGCGTCTGAAAATTTGACCTGATGAACATTTCTATTACTGTCAGATTTGTGCTAAATGCTTTAGTTTCAGAGATATAAGCCAAAAATGCTTTTAAACCCCGTGTTCTATTTTTAGCCATTGCGGCCATCTTGGATGATGTCAAATACTTTTTTTTAACTAGACAGCCTAAGGAAGATTTAGGCCAAGTTCGGTTTTATTTGGCCCAGTAGTTTCAGAGGAGATGATTTTTGTAAAAGTTAACGACGACGACGACGACGACGACGGACGACGGACGCCAAGTGATGAGAAAATCTCACTTGGCCCTTTTGGGAGCTAAAAAGCTATTGTAAATACTCAAGTGAATTAAATATCATTTTACAAGGATCACTATTACATCATACTACAAAAACATACTAGTATATATGTCTCTCATCATAATATATTGAGATTTGGTATACATCATGTACATGTATTACCAAAAAACTACTGTATACATACATTACATATATGCAGCAAAAATGGTCTGATAAACTGGATAAACGGATGTAGTATTTTTTACGAAGATCATATATTTTAAAATAATAATTTCAGAGCGGTCTGACATATTATCGCTCATACATATTATATACATTCATATAATTATGCGGCTATTCGTATGTGCTCAGCAAATTGTAATTCTCTGTATATTGAATTTTTAAGTTGAGAAAATAAAATTTTTAAACCAAAAAGTGGCAGCCTTGTTAAATGGCAGTTGTGGTCATCAATCATAACTTTAAAGGTTACTATTAATATGATAGTCTTATTTAAATGTTGTAGTATGGTTGAAGTTGGTTATTCAAAGTATTATCAGAATTTCCTCTCAGAAAATTTAATACAGCAGTGACAAATTTGTTTGATCATTGTGGTTGGGTTCATATATCAGAGTTCTTAAATGTCGCATTTCTTAAAGCGGTGTTTGCCACCGTCTTGAAATTGCTGTGAGGTATGAACTTTAACAAGTCCATCTGAATGTGATTTTGAATGCGATTATGTATAGCAAGAAAAGCGTGAACGTTGTGTATTTGCTTTAAATGTTAATGAAGTCAAAAGTTTGTAGGGAATTTTCCATGGAATAATGCATCATATAGCTGGTTTTCAAAAAATATATGAGGTAATCATATTTTCTATTGGGTGCTTTTGTTCAAGTTTCTAATTATTAGCTGATGCTAGCTTTGTCCTAGTTGTTGGGGGATAATCATAAAGGAAAATGAAATACATGTATATAATTTTTCTTAGGTTACCAGTGATATGTGCTTCAATGTTTTTTTTCTTTCTAATTTCTCTTAAGTTTATCTCAATCTTTCACTTAATCGACGCGTTTCTGAAATTAATTTCCATGAAACTTTATTATCTTGAGCAGGGATTTACCTTAAAGTGTCTCTATATAATTTGATTTACGATAGCAAGAATGATCGAAATCGGATGGCAAAACCAATCAATGCTTATGTGGGCATGTGTTTCATATTTGAGAGGCTTGGTTGCATTAAATCTTTCGTCGTTGTCTCCTTCATTTTTTGTCAGGGGATTGGTCAATACTTTTTATAGAGGGAATACATATATTATCCCGAAGTTTGATATCTATGCGAATATATTTGAGTGTTCAACGAATTGCCTGTTAAAACAATCAACTGAAATTTTCGTAGTTGTAATGGTGGGGCCTTTTATAGTGGATAAAACGGTATAGGTTTTGCTAATTCATGAAGGCCGTAGTGATTACTTCTTCTTTTTCTTCTTCCTTGCTAAGGACTGGATTCCTATTGGAATTTTATTAGTCCACTAGACGAAGAATGAGGCAGCAATTCTCCTGTAACTATTTACAGTGAAACGTTCCGATATATACAATTTAAACTATGTACACTTGGCTACTGTCTATGTTGTTGATTCCTGGGGTGCACTATTGTTGGAAAGTTGCACTCCGGAACCCGTCTATTGTCAGAGCGTCCGTTTTTGCTGTTGGAAGGTGGTTCCACTCTTGTATAGTCCGAGGGAAGAATGAGTACTTATAAACTCTCTGGTTTGCTGGTGGTTGGTATAGACGTTGTTTGCCTCTAGTACGTCGACCGTTTGGGCGTAAGATGGAACTAAAATCAATGTTCATTAGCTCATGCTGGATCTTGTAAAGCATGACGAGTCGATAGTTACTTCGTCTTGAAGCTAGTGGTTACTATACAAGTGTCATAAATATGACACATCCCGATGTTTTGTTAGTATAGTTGTTTGTTACGAAACTAGCGGTCCTGCTTTGTACTTGTTCTAGTCGATTTATGTCCTCAGTGGTATGAGGGTCCCGTGCCGCACTTGCATATTCAAAAGTTGGTCTTACCAGAGATATATAAGCCGCATTTCATACGTTTTTACTTCATTCTCTTAGGTTTCGTCTAACGAATCCGATGGATTTGGATGCAGTGACGTCAACGTGATGTTTCCATTGTAAGTCCTCGCTAAAAAATTTACTCCTAGGTATTTGTGCTGGTTGGTACAGTTTCGAGAATATGGCCGTGTAATTTGTAGTATGTAAAAATGAGAATGGAAA